GCTTCTTAGACTATTAAGCATAGTCCATCTGGAAGACATGCGATTTAGGCCAATGTTTTCTATCTGTTAAATGCTATATAACAAGTTGGAAAATTCGCGCATGTTCAAAGTTAATTCACAATAGCCGTGTGCAGTTGAAACAAAATTTACCTTTGAAAAATATGTCTTTCTTACAAAGCTTTCTTCAACGTTACACGCCGACTGTAAAAGCAGAAGAAGAGGAAGAAGAATTGATTGATCCTCAAACAGTACTCCGTGTAAGTAAAAATTGTTATATAATATTTGTTCCAACGATTCAAAACTTCATCTCGAGATTTTATAATTATTATCTGTTACTGAAATTATTCTTTTAAATGATCATTAATCATTCTATTGCATACAAGTCGATTAACCAATTTACCTTGCATGGAACGACTGAAACAATGTTTATAATTAACATATTATTGATACGTTAATCCTATATTTTTTAAAATTAAAAATTCTGGAGTAACCTCTTTGTTATTAAAATTTTGCTTGTTAATTGTAAAGTAACAGTAATATGTTTCAATTTTTTTTAATATTAAAGCTTTATTACACTGTTACAGTGTTATGTATAATGTATTAATTAAATATTTGTAAATATTAATCCTTCAAAATTATCTTTTTTATATATAAAATATAATTCAACGTAAAAATATACAATTATTTTCCTCTTAGGACAAATGTTCGAAACAACAGAAATGTTGTGCTTTGCAAGAGAAACTGGATACCTGTAACCAACGTGTAAATTCAAGAAGTCAAACAGAAGAAACTTGTATGGAAGAATTAATTGATTATGTAGAATGTGTAGACCATTGCGTAGCAAAAACACTTTTCAATAAGTTAAAATAAGATTGTTATTTAAAAATGTATGATCTTTATTATAAAACATGTTACAAATTAAGTCAATGCATTGTAGATGAATAAGTAATGCTAGGAATAAATGCTAATATATCAGTAAATATTAACTTTTGTCAATGCTCCTGTCATCTGTATTTAAAATTTAGTACCTATATAAATTTAACAAAGTTTCAACAAGAATAATTATAATATAGTAAAATATTGTGGTTTACATAAAATGATATAAATTTTTGGTATACTTTTTTTTATGAAAAATGCATGTGAAATGATATTTATTTTATTTACACATGAATATGTATTTTTCCTTATTTAACGTTTTGTTCATTCAGCACCTAGTTGCAATACGTCAAAACATACTGCACAAACGCGCACAGGTTTATTTTGTCCAAATTTTACAATTGGAACATCTTGATCTGAACATTTATTGCACAAAATTCGACCACAATGGCGGCTAGAAACAATAAAAATAGTTTTAGACAAATCTTAAATATACTGAATTTATTATGGATTTGTAAATTTATCTCAATATTTTAAAATGTATGTACCAGTGATGTTTTCGCATTGTGAGTGAAAATTTTGTACCACATTCCAGACAAAGATCTTTATCTGCCCATGGTGCTTCTTGTGTCAAGGAATCTAGTAATCTATATAATAATTGTTTTGTTGCTACTTGATAATTGAAAATTGTAATCCCTTCTTTATTCATAGAACCTAAGCATGCACCAGCTTTTACCAAAGTACGACAAAGTTGGCCATTTCCTTTCATATAAGCTATCAGTAATGGAGTATTACCATCCAAATCTTGAATAAAATATTTCGTTTAATTTATTTTATAATAAAATAATACTGCATGTTTCTTTAAAATTTCATGTAATAATATTAGAAATTTAGCAGAAATATTATTTTTCTTCAGTAAAATGTTTTAACATAAATATTATTGAAAATATTAATATAGTCATTACCTGCATTGTTCACTGGATATTGTGACATACATTCCAAAAAAAGTTCACATATATTTGCAGCATTATCTTTTCCGCACCTAGCTAATTCGTGTAAAGGATTTCTTCCTTTAAGATTTACAGCTTCTGCATCCAATGTACATTCAGTCAAAAGTGTTCTTACCACTGATACATGACCTTCTCTTACAGCTACATGCAATGCATTGTCACCATCTGCATTTACTGCATCAAAATTAATATTGTTCTAAAATAAGAAATTAAACAATTTAATTTATTTTATATTATGATTTTTTATATCTTAAAGATCCTTTATACATGTACAAGTTATTGTATTCACCTGCAATAAAGCAGATACAATTGCTGCATGACCAGCTTTAGCAGCAGCATGCAATGCAGTATTTCTGTTTGCATCTGTATCGTTAACACGTGCACCAGCCAATATTAAACTTCTCACCAACATTTCATTTCCAGAAATTGCAGCAAGATGTAAAGGTGGAGTTTGTGTAACATCATGAACTCTAGAATTTACATCTACCTATAAAATAAGAATAATTTCATTGTATATCTATTTCATTAAATTGATTTTTTTAAAAACATCAAATTTTTAAATAAATATATTTTTTTTAAAACATCAAATTTTTAAATAAATATATTTTTTAAAAACATCAAATTTTTAAATAAATATATTTTTTTAAAAACATCAAATTTTTAAATAAATTTTTAAATAAATATACATTCAAAACTATAAAACGTTATTCACTTGTATAGACAATAGAAATAATATGTTTTCCATATCATTCTTTTGAATAGCAGTATGTAAGAAGTTTCTGCCTTTATTGTCATACTGTTCAGCAGCTTTAGGTAGGCGTTCCAGTATAGCTTGAGCAGCTTTGTTATTCCGAAATGTTAGAGCTGTTGCAAAAGGCGTTAAACCTTTCTTATCACGTTTATTTAAATCAATGCTAGGATGACAAAGCAACAGAGAAATAATTTGTGAATGTTGATTTTGTATGGCTACGTGAACCGGAGTTTTGCCCTCGACATCTCTAGCATTTACGTCAGCACCATGTTCAATGAGTGTTTGTACAACTTGTTCTAAACCCCACTGACAACATAAATGTAGTGGAGTACACTCATCTCTTGATTCATCGCCTCCAACACCATCTGGACCAGGTCTTCTAGGTGCGTTTAAATCACAGCCACTGCAACATATTATTTTAGAATTTAATATCATAATTATTATTAATTTAGAGTTAATATACCTTCTTATAAGGAATTGTGCGATATCTTCTTTGTTGTGATCAATTGCTCTGTGTAATAGTGTTTGTTGGCAATCATCTGGACCAGGACCCCAACAATCAGTGTCTGCTCCATATTTAACTAGAATAGACGCTACATCCTCTTGATCTGAATCCAGTGCATCCCACAATGGACATCCTACAGAAGTATCTGCGCCTCTTTTACAAAGCGCCTCTACAACTTCACCTAGTCTACAGTGTACGGAAAGTTGTAGCGGAGTTTCTCCGTTTGCCGTTCTAAGTGAAATAAAATTTCATTTTTAGATTCAGATTTTAAATTCTACTTTAGTGTAATTCCACAATGTCTAATGTCCAAGGTTCAAGTAAATATAATTGTTTTTAAAATGTTTAAGATGCTATTTACCTAGTATTCATGTCGGCACCATTTTCTAATAAAAAGATCGCTGTCGCCGAATCTTCTTTTAATATTGCTTGATGCAACAACGTTAAACCTTCATTATTGCATTGATTAATATTTGCTCCAGCCTTTATTAAAGCTAAAACTATGTCTTTGCCCTTTTTGAACGGTGCTTTAATAGCCAAACTTAAAGGAGTCTCGTTCGCGTTGTTTTTTAAATTCAATTGGGTGTTTGAATTAGCTGCGTCTAATAATTCCATTACGATATCAAAATACAAATTTGAAACAGCAATATGTATTGGTGCATCACCAGTAGACAATGCAACTTCGTCGACTGGGAAGCCAGTTTTCAATAAAGCTCGTGTTAAATTCTTTGAACCAACTTTACAAGCTTCATGTAAAACCGAGTATCCTTCATTATTCTTTTGCATTAAGTTATCTTTACAATAATTGATTAAAAATAAAGCAGCTTCTTCTTTATATTCCCTTATCAAAATGTGTAGTAAAGTATCTCCTGTATTCTTGTGTACAGGATTTACAATTGCGCCTTTAGCTAGTAGTTTCTTAGCAAAAAATTCGTTAAATGGATTTGTTTTCATCGCAATACATAATGGAGTGTCATTTTCATTGGTGACTTTGTTCAAATCTATATCCTGACATTCTAGTAAAATATGAAAAAGTGGTTCGTTTCTCTCCTGAATACAATTGTGTAAGGCAGTCCTGTAAGAATAAAAATCAACAATGAAGAAACGTCTTTGATTAAAAGTTTAATACTTTTAATGCCTTATTATGAATAGAATTGCAAATGTTTAACCATTTGTCAAAACTTAAGCATTTAGTGGGTAAAACTTCTGTGTAGATTTAACTTTTTTTAACGTACGTTTTGAAGTTCTATCAGAATCTCAGTTATAGATTACCAATATTGAATCAATGTTAATTTTAATTTTCACATAGATTCTATTCTTTCAGATTCTGTTAATTTCCTTTCAAAATATACATATATTGATTCTCCGAGGTAATTATAAACCAAAAATGATCAAACAATCGTACCATCCTCTGTGATTTTGTAAATTAGGGTCAATGCCAGCTTGAAGTAATCTGGATGCAACTGCTAACATATTTTCTGAATTATGTTTCGTTATCAAATGCAACGCGGTACATCCCTCAAGTTCTTCAAGATTTTTTATATCTCTCGCATTCACAGCAGGTTTCATAGTCTCGCACAACTCTTTTGTATTTCCATTATTCTCCAGTTGTTCTATTATGAAATCAGCCGCGTAGGAATCCCCTTTGAAAATAGCAGCTTGGAGCAAGGAAAGACCTCTTGAATCCTTGGCGCTTAAGTCCGCCCCGTGTTCGACTAAAGTACGGGCTAACGATGGTTGACGAGTTTTTAACGCAACTTCCAAGGGCATTTCTCCTTTGTAATCCAAGGCATTAACAGCTTTCGTTAACTGAAATAATAAAATGCTTAACTGCTTACAATGATCTACTTTATATACATTTAATTCATAACATGTATTAAAATAATGAAATTTAATAGAAAATTTTAAAGTTTCGTGAGATATATATAATTGATTGAGAACCACTGCTTCGATTTTATGCAAAAGATAACACATACAACGTGATACGCCCAGCGGATGTTTGTCCGCGCACGTTTAGTGCTGGCATAGTTGGTATTGAGGAATACACATAGGCAGCATGACGATTAAAACGGAAGGGAATATGAAGATTGTACACTGATTCAACAGAAACAGTGATCTGTAAAGGATAGAAAAACCATGATGTGGCATGTGATAGACTCGTCTAACCGCAATCAGCTTCCGAAAGGGGCATATTTTCTCGTAGCGAAGCGAAAAACAGTTAATCGAAATCCTACGATCGCTATGTGACGTTTAGTGAATATTAATAAAGAGTGTTGCTTTGGAATGTGTGAAAGTGTTCGATCGAGTATGATCTATTGTCTTACGATGGAATCGAGCTGAATTCTTCACGATACTTTGAATTTTTTAAACAAACGAGTACGAATTCGACAGATATTTTTCCTATATTGTTCGATCAATATTTTTCTTTTCATTTTGAAGAATTAGCAGCTTTCACTTTTGTGATTACTCAATCAATGAAATGAATCAATGAAATGAATTTAAAAATATTTTTTTTTTTATTAATATATATATCAAAGGCTATTAACATTCACTATAGGCTAGAATCAATGTAGAAAATTATTTTATGTTATGTCTAACACAAATAACTACGTACATTCAAACAATTACAATAATTACTACGATTGTAAAAGATACAATCAATTCTAACGAATGTTTGCATTAAATCATTGTTATTTTCAAATATTATTTTTTCTAATGGGATAAACTCATGTTGTTCAAAAAATTGTTTCAGGTTTGCATAATGACAATGATGAATTGAAATGCAAGATAAATATAAATAAAAAATTACATTAAAAGGTGTAAATAGTATCGTTAACATTATATTCCATTTAATTAAAATGACTTTGCATATACAGTCAAAAAAAACCTTGTTCATTGTTATAGTTTATCTATGTATGTTCATATCTAACTTATCTTTACACAAAATAATCAATACCGTATCTTCTGAATATCTAATATTTTTAGTTGCAATAATGATGCAAATAACTGCAGAAGGTATCGCATGCTTTAAATGTTATGCATCACAACCAGGACATGAAAAAACTGATTTATTATGTTCTCAATTTGATGGAAGTTCACGGTTTCAAGTGCACTGTCCTTCATCCACACTTTGCAGAAAGAGAACTATTTATTCCAAATATAAAAGTAAGTAATATAAAAACAAACTAATTTCTACATATAAATCAAGAAACATGTTTGGCATATTCATTATTTTATCATCTTTGCCAGCATCTATAATCACAACTGTAGAAAGGGACTGTGCACCTCAAAAACGTACAGTACCGATCTATAGTGATAACAAGTGGCAAAATAAAGAAGAAATTGTGACATCCGCTTACAAAGAAGGTTGTTTTATTGGTGAAGATAGAGGGGCACCAGCTGGTCCACCAGAATATTGTTTTTGTGGACATCATTTATGTAATTCATCACAATCAATTAAAATCATCAATATATATCATATTTTTATATCACTAACAGTATTACTGTTTGCAACACTATTATGATACTCTTCCTTTAAGTACTTACTAAATATGACAAAAAATTTTTTAATATATTTCATCGTTGTTTAAAATATGTTATAAAAATCGATCTTTACTTTACTTCTTTTATATTAATTTTTATAGATTATGAAACTGCGAATTAATAAAAGTTTGAATAAAAAAATGAATCCTTTGATACTATATTTAGCAATCTACTGTGATAATGGTAATTATTAAATTAATTTGATAATTTTATTATGTACAAAAATAAAAAGAACAGTATAAAAAGATTGAAACATCATTATTATCATAAAATCTTGTGTCATAAAATACTGCACTTATAAGCAAGATCTATTGTAAATAATTGTACATAACAAATAAATTTGTACATAGATAAATGTTTGTAACAATTTAAAATATGAAACTTACCTCTGAATTGTTTTCCACTAAATATAAAAAAACCACATCTTCCCTCATTAGTCGAACAGCAGCATGTAATGGATATCTACTTTTAGTCTGTAATAATTTGTATAACAGAGAGCCAGGCATTTCCTTAAAGTCTTCTCCTGTTAAATCTTCCTAACAACATGAAATTTTGATCAATTAAAGAATTAAAGTTGCGTAATTTATATTTCTATTCCTGTTTCTCCTTACCCAATGTGCTGAAATCAAAGAGCTACAATGCTCTTTCAATTTCAATGTACCCAACTCCTCAGCAGCTGCGTATAATTGCACACAATCTTTGAGTCCTACAATTCCAATTAAATATTTTTCACACTGCTCGACTAATTCCATCAGCTGAAAATTAGATGCTGCTTTCATTAAATCTAATGTTAAATTTTCTTGAGACACCTTTCCTGTGTATATCCATTTCAATAACACTAATCCAACATTAGACTCCAAGCAAGACCAATCTAAAGAATATATCTCTTATTATATAAAATGTTTGTACACATGTAATTCTTCTTTGTGCATTTAATATTTTGACATTTTACCTAAAATAGTGACTTCGGACAGTACTGAATCACTGAAAAAATCTGTTCTGGCAGATAATACGAATTTATGTGCTGGTATATCTTGATCTTTCAATTTGATAATCACATCGCTAAAGATATAGATTTGTTAATAACAGAGTTTGCACAATTATTATTTAACACTAGTTTATTACCTATAACGATGTTGACTATATAAGGATGCAATAGTCGTCAAAAGTCTACCAATAAATCCAGTATCTTGTTTATTAGCAGTCACAATAGCATACTCGCGTTGAAGTTCTGTGTTTGTATTATATAAATTAACGTACTGCTCTCGCAATAGAGATAAATGTTGCTGCCACTTTTGTGCCTCTGTGGAATCTTCTAAAAAAATATATAAAATGTTAAATATTTGATTGGAGAACATAGGTAGATAACCTGAACTTACCCATAATTACTCTGAGCGACTATTTGTCTCACTTTCCTAGAGTGCGGTATAAAAGTTATTGCATGTCCGGCTTTTCACGCTATTTCATATTTGTCCAACACACAATCAGTCCGGCGTGATAACGATAAAAAATAGGTAATAATGATTAGCAGTTCCTGCGCGAGATTTTTGAAAATGTTGTCGATGTTTCGTTTACGCTAAAAAAAAAAAAAATATAATAACAAGCTCTTAACACGTATTGTACGCCCACGTACAGCATTTGTTACATTTGTAATTCACGTACGTACATATTTTCTTTTCTGAGAAAAACTGTAGCCACACTTTTGAAAGACAGCAAAAATTCCTATGCAATTTGAACGATAAGAATATAAAAATTGTAAGTTCCTGTTGCAGTAATGTTACGGGCAGGTTTCTTGTATTACGACGATTGAAGTCGCTTTTTGGATTCTAAGTTTCTGCAGCGCTTATCAAACTTATCAAACTTATTAACTCATAACGCGATAATGAATGGTATTACAAATTCGTGGAACTACGACAGCGTTTTGAAAATGATCATTCCCCTAGATTTCATCTAGTTATACTGACTGCATGTAGAATAAAAATGTAAAAAGGAAAACATTTTTATAAACTTGTACATGTTTCAAATTGTATTTTTGAACAAAGTCAATTATATTTTAAGAATAAGTATTTTAGATTAAAACATAACTAATTTAGTAAAAATAATTAGCATCGAGCAAATTTAAAATAGTTTAACTTTTTAAAAGAATTATTTATTATAACGCGTATAATTTTATATGTATTGCAATGTAATTTTTCAAGCATATAGTTATGTAACTATTTTTTGGTGATACTTTAATAACATTATTTACATCATACATACACACACACACACACACATATATATATATATATATATAAATTTATTATAACGATAAATTCGTTAAACAAATGTAATTTGAAATATCATATCAATTAATTATGAATTGTATTCAAATTCAAATTATTGAAAATGTTCGTTGTAAATTCTCAAAAGAAACAAATTTACACGAAAATGCAAAAAATTGTTTTGTCAATATTATTAAAGGATCTGTTCTAACTTGAAAGTTAGAAACACGAATAATCTCATTAAATTAAGGATTAGATTGAAATGAAAATTTCACACATAAATGGCTAATTTGCACGACTAATTGTTGAATACAGTTGTAAACTAAAAATATTCAATGAACATATAAAGATAAATTGTAATTAAATTTTAAAAGTAAATTTGAATTTATTTAAAAAAATGGAAATAAATCAGATTTCTAACTTGTCTCTAAAAGAGAATATACACCAATTATTAGAAATGTGTGGTTCACCAACCAAAGAAGGTATTTACAAACTAATATAATTCATATATTGTATAACTTCAGATCATTGTATTTGATATTTATCAGTTTTCATTTTATCCTTGTTGACTAATTTTCACGTTAAATCTGCCTAAGCTGTGTTTAGCCAATGTAGTTGAGAGAAAAATTATCATTTACAAATTCATCATATCACTTTAACACAAAATAATAAGGAATATATGCATTGGATTTTTTTAGAAATACTTTGTAAACTTGAGGATTGCAGTCAAACAAAGTTAACGATTGGAATGTTTTTTGAATTTATAAAACTTGCGTATCAGGTTAACGACAATTGTGAAAGTTTAACTGCAATATTGACCGCAGGAAACAAGCTTAATTGGAACAAACTAGCAAAAATTAATTTACACTGTGATACACAAAATTATAATAGTACTGATGAAAAATACGTCGACAGTAATGTCATGCAGAAACATAAAAACAGTAATGTAGTAGAAGAAACTTTGTCTGATATAGACGGTAATGATATTAAATGTTCCTTACATTGCACGATACCTTCAGATATACAATTTAAAAATAAACAAATATGTAGCAACGATAAGAATTTAATGCCTAATCTTGAAAGTTGCAATCAAATTGTACAAAATCCGCTACAAATAGAAGATGTAAACATTGCGAGATCTGTAAATACAACAGAAAATTTTTTAATTTCATTGATGAAGACAAACTTGAGTGATGTACTACACGAAGGTTTATTAGACTCAATATTGCCATACATGGTTCCAAAGCCTGTTATTTCGCAGCCTATCATTAAAAAATCTATTATAAGTACAGAAGTGAAAAAATGTAATTCACTAAGTAATAATATCGAGACAAGAGCAATTACAAATATCACACATAAAGAAAAAGAGAAAGATAAAAATAAATCAAGTAAGAGATCAACCGAGTAAGTATCAGTAACTAATATCGATTGAAATTAAATTTAATATTGATTTTAAAAATAATTTTTTATAGAATGAATTAATAACAGTTTATTGTATGCTTATATAGCAATGAAGTGGAAATTCATGTTTGCGACGAAGAGAAAAACATTAAAAAAAATTTCCATTGCCCTCAGAAACTTCTTATTCAAAAGATGCGTTATTTCGCTGATGTAACAGCAGGACAAAAATTAGAGGAAATAGATATATCAGTTCATTGTGATATTACAATTTTTGACTGGCTAATGAGATGGGTAAAAAAAGATATTCTAAAAAAATCTGAATGGCCAATTTTAGAAATCAATAATGTCATTCCAATTATGGTGTCTGCATCATTTTTACAAATGGAACCGTTATTGGAAAGTTGCTTGCAATATTGCCATGAAAACATATCCAATATATTAAAGACATCGACAGTTTTAACTGGTTTAGATGATAATCTTTTGATAAGGTATTTTACTTTCACACATTTTCAAATATTTTAGATGCTATATTTATTTTTAATTGATTTATAATATATTGCATTTAATTAGCATTTGTTCTCCAGATTGATAGAAAAATTTACAAATGAAGACGTTGAAGCATTAAAAGACAAAAAGGATAAAATTCAAAGTAAATTATTTTGTAAGTTGATTGTGTCTCTTGCTGAAGTAATACCAAATAATAAAAGGGGACACTATAGTTCTTTAGCTACTTTGTTTAAATGCAGCAAATGTGGGAAAAATATTATTCAATCAATTTCTAATTATGTGCCATGTGTTTCAAGTGCAATGAAAATTGATAACCACGGAAATATTCACAGTAAACACGTAAGGTATGATTTTAATATTTAAACTCAATATGACTCAAAATTTATAATTGTAATAAAATCCATATTCTGTTACAGAGATTTAACATGGACTTTAAATGATTACATTGTTACTCTTCGAATGGAATTACGTTCTTGGCGTAAAGTTTATTGGAGGCTTTGGGGCGATTGTCATTTTTTATTTTGTACGCAATGTAATATATATTTTCCAATTCATCAGTTTGAGTGGTGTTGCTATCACGCAGAATTTCCACAGTTTTTTATTAATGAACAACAGCGGCCTATACCATTCCCTTTGGGCAGATATCCATGTTGCAGTCAACGAGCATACAAGTTCGAAGTATTATCAAATTATGAAGGTTGTAGATATAGGGTACGCATTTGTTAGTATTTCTCGAATTTTGAAAATTTTTAAAATTATATATATTCATAGTAACTATCGAATTATTTCCATGTAATATTTTCTTTCCCCCTCAGGAACATATCCCGGATATTAGAACACAAAGAGACATAAATGTATTGAATATTTTTACATTACATAGAGAAATAATAGCTATAGAATCACCGCAATTATTTTTCCCAGAGAAAATTACGAGACTAGTAGCTCGTGACGCGTCACTTCAACCGGGAAAATTAATGTGCAAAGATGTAATGTGGTGGATCGGTATAGAACTTACACCACAGCGACCAAGACTTGGACTTTTAGGTAAATTAATATTTCTTAATATTTCTAGGCAATAATCGTAACGTTAATCATAAATATTTAGGAAAAATTTGGAGCGGTTCAGGATTCCGACGAATATCTCAGATGCAAGATCTACAAAAATCGTCGCAGAAGATTCGTCAACAAATTTCTATTACAACAGATACTTCATCGATTACGTCTTCGATGACGGATAGTGATATAGATGATGGTATTACAACTTATGAAAATAGTAGCATTGATGAAGAATCAAATTATAGTGAAGAATCTCACGCGTGGCTTTCATTAAATTCCAAAAATAAGATAAAAAAGAAATCAAGAAATGAAATCATATGGAGGTATTTAATGTTGTATGGAAAGAAATTTATACTATTATTTTAAACTGATTAAATCGTTTATGTTTACGTAATATGAAATAATTTTAGAAATAATGGTCGATCATGGAGTGGTAATTTAAACGTAAGACACAATCAAGATAATCAAAGAGATTTTGAAGAAAGTGCAACTTTACAAATGATAACGCTACTAACGAAAAGAGTATCTGCAGATTCTTCCTCGTTATTAAAATCGTCTACTAGACACAATCGGATAAAAAAGGAATTAAATGGTATATTAACTAAATATTATATTTTTAGTGAATGCTATTTAGTATGCAATCTAATGTAATACAAACAATACTATTCAAAGCAGGAGGAATTTATACAAAATTGGAAGCTGAATTTCGTGATCAACTAAATCAATCTTATAAAAGTAAAAATATAACTGGGAAGTATTTTTTACGTACAAAATTAAATAAATCATAAGTGTTTCAGACTAGTACAATTGTTACTATTGTATATGTTGGACATTCTTTTAATTAATATTTATTATATTAAACTTTTTATATTTTCGTAATTATGAAATTAATGATTATTTATGGACATAACGAATACAAATATTTATTATATAAAATATTTTTTTATTCTTTAATCAAAGTTCATTAATAAATTTATTATTGAAGTAATTAGTGCTACGTAATAAATACTGAAAAAATATATAATAATATAAATATTATATAAATATTATGTAGTATATAATAATATAAAACTTATCTTGTAACAGCTTCTTATCTTTTTATATTTTATTATCTTTTTTAAGAAAAAAATTGTGGTTCAATTGAAGTTTAAAATTTAATGATAATATTTAATTTAAAATTTAGGATTCTCCTTGTTTTTTATACAAGTCACTCCTATCTAATAGATTGTTAAGTTCTTCCTCTGTAAAAACTGTATTGAAAATTTAAAAAATTATTTATTAAAACCGTAAATTAGTTATTAAATACATGAAATATATACTTTAATAATTTACCTTCATTTTCAGATGCAACTTGACATGTTTTTGATTCCAGAAGTTTTTGTAATTTCAGTAAATCAATTTTATTATTTGTATTTACTGATTGAACGTGTTTGGAAATTACTACTTTTTCTAGAAGGCGTTTTGCTTCAGCAACATTTAAAATTGCTTCATCAATAGTTCCTTTGGTACATAATTTATATATCATTACTGGTCGTGTCTGACCTATTCTATGGCAGCGTGCCATAGCTTGTATATCCACTTGAGGATTCTGGACACATATTAAATTATTTTTTATTGATAATATGATATTAGGATATTTATACTTCATTATTAGAATATTTACACTTCATTAATAATAGGAAATTAGATAAAAATAATAAATCAAATAACATACCCAATCAGAGTCATATATGATGACAGTATCTGCTCCAACAAGATTTAATCCAACTCCACCAGATCTTATAGATATAAGGAATAGAAATATTTGCGAGTTTGTATTGAAATTGTCAATGTTTTCTAGTCGCTCCAAAAACTTAGACTTGCCGTCTAATCTAACATATTTATAATCACGTAAAGAAAGATAATCTTCTATAATATCTAATATCATTGTCATGGTAGAAAATAATAAAACTTTGTGCCCTTGCTGTTTAAGTCTTGCAAGCATTGCATCTAATACTAAAAGTTTGCCAGATGATCTAACTAATTCTTCATCTATTTTTGGCAATAAATCTGAGCCTAATGGATGATGTATTAAATATGGGTGATTTACAATTTTTTTGTACAAAGAAACTGAAAAAATAAAAAAATAAGCATAAAAAAAATGATTAATATATATTGTATATTTATTGTTAAATAATAATTTACCATGTTTATTGCGAATTTTAATTAGGAAATCTCTATTAAGGTTTGTAACATCAGTATATTTTTTCCACATTAATAAATTTTTATCATTTTCAAATTTTTCGTTTTTATAAGTCTCATTGTTTCTTTTATTATTCATAACATTATCCATATTTTTCAAGGTAGATTTTCTTTTAGGTCTTTTGCCATCCTCTGTGTATGTAATTGTATCTTGTTCAATATTATTTAATTGATCTATAGCATGATTCAATATTGTCTTATATAAATTATGTTGTAATTCTGTCAAAGGAGCATAAACAATTAATTCCTTTTTTGGCGGAACATCCAAACAAACGTCGCTCTTTTCACGTCTCAACAGAAATGGTTGTAGTATTTCACGTAATATTGACAATATACGTTTTTCTTCTTCTAACTTTAAAAACTTCTTCGTTCCTTCATCACCTTGATGGTTTTTTGCATTAAACCAGGATTCAAAAACAGCTAAATCATCAAAAATTTCTGGTAATAAAAAATTTAATAATGACCACAATTCCGCTAAATTATTTTGTAATGGTGTGCCTGTTAATAAAAGTCTATTCATAGACTTACAAATCTGTAGAATCCTATAAAATTAAATTATATTATTTGTGCAATATTTATAATTTAATATTTATAGTACACACAAATAATTAAATTTTACACAACATACTTAATAAGTTGACATTTATGATTTTTAATTCTGTGTCCTTCATCTACAATTATATATCTCCAGGTGAAAGATCTAAGAAAATAACTTTCAGACAAGACCATTTCAAAAGATGTAAGTACAATAGGAAATGTACTGTAAGTTTTTGTAATCTCGTATTTGCATCTAATTTTGTACTTTAGCTTAAATCTCTCCTCTGATCCATGAAATAACACGACTGGTAATTTCGGTGCAAACTTTTTAAATTCTGACGTCCAGTTTGGTAGAGTTGAGAAAGGAGCAATTATCAAATATGGTCCATCTTGCTGTTTCTCAAAGAGATGACACAGTAATGCTATAACTTGAATCGTTTTTCCAAGTCCCATTTCATCAGCCAAAATTCCATTTATACCATTCTCATAAAGAACCTTTAGCCACTGGAGTCCTTCCTTCTGATAATCTCGTAACTCTCCTATGAAATATTTTAACGTTTTAGTAATACTGGTATTTGTTTCATTTTCAGGATTATCTTCCAGATTATTTTTAATTTCTCTATCACTCAAATTCAATTTGTTTTTATTAACATGTATTTTCTTTTGTATCTGAAAAATATGTATACAATATGTATGAAAAATAAACAGTCAAAGCATAAACACACACATATAATACTATTGTGCTTACTTACATCTTCAGATAGATATTCTTTTATATTATTATTATTCTTTGTTTTGTCTTGTGGTGGAATATTTTCATCTATATATTTTGTTTCCTTCGCATTTCTTTTTATACTTATATTATATTTGCTGACCTCGTTCTTGAAACTTTTATCAATTTTATTAACAATATAAGAAGAGTAAAATTTACTTTTATTTAACAAATGCATTAATCGTTTATACTGTTGCTCTTGAATTTCTTGATTGTACTTTTCTTCTGTTAATCGTTTGCTCTCATTATCTTGTCGTTTCCTCTTTTTTCCAGTCACTACAGTAATCTTTTCCAATGGTTCATTGTTAAATTTTACATTGTCTATAATGCTTTTGGAATTGTCTTTCCACATGCAAAAGATAAAAATAGAAAATTAACAATCTTTTCTTACTATTATTATAATATTATAATACACGTTACTTGAATTTTTCTTTCAAAGAAAATCTTCAATTTCAAAATCTCTAACGTGTGCGAATTTTTTTATCGAGCATGCAAATTGTTTCGTTGCTCTCATAGTAATTTGAAAAGTGTTTTACCTGTAACCAAACTTGTGCCACTAGAAATAAGAACTTTTGCATCACAATCCTTATTTTCCATTTCGTCAAATGATTGAAAATTCTAACGTCTATTTCTATGAAACAAATTCAAATCAATGAAAAAACAAATTTAACCGAATGTACGAATGTCCGATGTGTTAAGAAACTCCCGCTCTAAGAACTCATTATATATATGTATATATATAGAGGCATATGATGTGTGTGTGTGTGTGTGTGTATATATATATATATATATACTATTAAGAGTTGTCAATTGCTAGCACAAAAATATACCTAGATAATATATAAAAGTAATAACAAAAATAATTTATAAAATAAAACGTTTACAATAGTAACAAAATTTGAAATTTATAATTAAAATATTTTAATTGGTATATATAAAAAATTAGACGAAATGAATAAAATTAAAATACAAATTGAAATACAAATTTCGTCTATTTTAATTCAATGTTCTTGTCGACAATTGCAAAATTTCAATCGGGATTAAAAATACATTGTATTAATAAGACGATTTATTGTTTATATGCAGTGCTTCATATTCTGGAAGTTGTCCATTCTGTTGGTTTCATGGTTGCCAACATGGTTATTCAAAAGTTAAAACTTTACTGCAAGGATTCCTATAGATTATAAATTGATTAGATTACTTTAAAACTAATATTTACTTTTAGAATGTATATTTCAACTTCAAAACAATTTATTCTGAATTCTCTAGCAGATAGTAAAATTTCAGTTTACTATTTTTAATTTATTAAATAAACTCAAAAAAAAATATATATATATAGTGATTTTTAAATTTTAGTTATATAGTTATATACACATATATAACTTAAATAGTTTTAAAATTATTTATATTACGAAAATTTTAAAATTATTTAAAATTAAGTTGAAAGAGCTACTTTACAAAATTTATTACAAGTACATGTATGTACAGTTACATTAGAGTAATAGTGAAGATAAAATAACAAGTTATTTAAATGTTCAATGATTCATTCAATGATACACTATTTATATTGTTTATATTATTTACAAAGCTTGTGATAACTTGTGAAAGATTAAAAAAAGAAAAAGACAGTTAGTTAGTCTATATATAATGTTCACTAATGTAGTGTACTATCTATTGCCTATATAGCGCGGCTTAATACTTAGCAATTCTTTAAAAATTTCTAATGTTACGTACAATTTAACAATTTATTTCTTTTCAATGTTTGAGTGACAGCAAACAATGTTGCACGTCGACTACTATGAAGATCATTTACAATTTGCACAATTATGTACATTCACATGAACTCGTAACAATTAAGCTGAACCGAGTCAAGTGATGACGAGTCAAGTCATTTAAATGTGACAAAAATTGAAGAATGGATGTTACAGATAACGTTGATGAAGCTTTAGATCCCCGTATACAGGTAATTATCCCTTTTAAGACGATTTTTTCCCATTTGTCTTCAGTCCACTGAAATATAAATTTTTCTAAAGAATACCTGCCTGTTATAGGTTACATACGTAAGTAAATGATTACTAAATGTTCGTAACAGCCTAATACAGCCTGGTACCATGTTCCACTTTGCTTTCACTTCGTTTTCATCCTCAATTTTCTATCGAACAAGAGATACAAACAATTGTCATTTTGATAATATTCTACAAGAATTGTTTAATATATAATATCTTTATTGTCGCAAACAATTTATTATAACGTGCAATTATGTATTTTTGTTTCTTTAATTTTATTAGTCAGTAACAAAATAAAAACTTTATTACGATATTACGTTATCATTATTGTTATTGTTATTTTAATGAATGTAATTTATTTTGTAATTTATTAAACGAAAATGTATTACTGTATTATTATTTTTTATTGAGTAGATCTGTAAATATTAATTTCTGTTAAATATTATCAGAAAAATACTTCTATGAAATTTAGCTAAAAATGATATGAAAAATGTACAAAAAGAACCAATCACAATTTTTTATAATATTAAAAGTATTAAATAATCTAAATTGTTATTATAAGAGTATTTAGTATTAGAAAAATCTATTGCATAAAATTATCTAATATAAATTGTTCTGAATTTTATTTTCAAGGAAAAGCAATAACAAGTTTGACATTTTTAGATTGAATTGGAGAACTTAAATGATGCAACAGATGACATAAACAAACTTGAAACTGAATTAGGTGTAAGTGTTACTGATTCTTGTACATAATGAAGCTAAAAACTTCTTATATTTTATATATTGGTTTAAAGATATAGTTTAAAATAAATAATTAAAAATAATATTTAATCTTTAATAATTTATGGAATTAATAAAAAATGTAATGTTTATTGTCTAGGAAGCTCACACTGCTTTTAGGCAATTATTATCAGAAACTACCAAAAGATTAAAGGAAATATTAAATAAAGTAGGAAATAGTTCTGTTGAGAAAGCAAGATGTTATTATGAAGCATTTGAAGTAGCGCGCCAAGCTCAGGTGAGATAGTAATGAAAATATTTGTTAGATTTTGGAAAATAATCCACCAAAATTCCATGCAGATAAAATGTCAACAACAAGCTCAATTATTCCAAAGAGCAAACGAAATCCATGCCGCAGCAAAAGAAACGGTGGCATTGGCTGAAAGTAGATTTATGTCGCATCAACATGAATGGAATTTTGATCAAGCTTGGCAAGATATGTTAAATCATGCAACACTTAAAGTAAGTTATAAAATAAATGATATAATGATAATATTGAAATATATACATGAAATATATACAAGAGAGAATAAAAAATAAAGTTTAGTTTATTTAATTTTGATCACATTGTAACTTAGGTCATGGATGCTGAAAATCAAAAAGCAGAGTGTGGCAGAGAACATTACAGAAGAGCAGTATTGTTTCATAACGCTGAAAAAAGACTGTTGCAACTGGAGGAAAAACATCGCCGTTCCATAATAAAAGCACGATCATATTTCGAACTTAAAGCACACTGTGACCAAATGTTGGCAACTCAAAAAGAACGAGTCGAATGTTTACAGAAAGCAATACAAGATGCAAAGACTAATTATGCTACAAGTCTTCGTAGACTAGAAGAAATTAGTAATCAAATACATCAACAGCGTCGAGATTATGGTACATACTACTTCATATTATTTTACTTAATAATTATTTATACTTAAATTACATTTTTTAAATTGTATTTTTAGATTTTGTAGCTAATGGACCCCGAGAACCAGGTGTTGGTGCAGAATTAGTTAGTCCACAAAAGACTTCAAATTATGATGTAGAATTTAACCAATTAAATGGCAATAAAATAAAGGATTTCACGAATAATCAACTGAAGAAGTATAGTAGAATACAAGATTATAATGTTAGTAAATACTTCATTATTTTTGTTGTAATAAAAATTTATATGCCAATGAAAAATTTCTTATGTTATAGAATACTTGTCAATTACAAGAAGATACTGAAAATCTTGGAAAAAGATCAGTTGACGGAAGCGAAGCAATATCGTCGCAATGGGAATTCGAATTAGAAGCTAACATAGAAAATTTGGTGCTTGATGGTGATAAAAATAAAAGTATGTCCGATTTACAATTCTACAGTGACGAAAGTGCAAAATCAAATAATTTCGTACAAGACTTAAATTATAAATTTTTGCAAGATAAAGATCACTTTATGCAAAATTTAAATCAATCGAAAAAATTATTAAAAGATCTTCAAATGTTGAAAAGTTCATTTGTAAATACGCCTTTGACGACATATTTTGAAGAGTCAAATTCAGTAAAAAGTGAAATTATTGATTCAGTAATGTTAAACAAACATAAAAGTAATTTAAAAAATAATGTATCGAAGTCTTTAAATAATACTCCTACAAAAACAAATATACTTACTTTAGGCCCGAAAGTTACAGAAAAGGGTATACGTCAAAGTATAGCAAAATATGTGCCAAATAACATTTTCAATTTTGGTTTTAGTAATAACAAATCTCAAAATAGCAATGTTAATTTATCTTTAAATCTTGATACTAATTCCATAGAAAAGCATCAAAGTTTATGTAATATTGTAGATCATAAGACTGAGAATTTCAAATTTGATATTACAGATTTAAAGTATAATACGTTTAAGATGAAAGAAACTAATGATAATGGCCTAAACGTTACAAAACAAATTCATGATGCACAATTAAATAGCTTAAGCAAAATAAATTTACAATCGATGTCTAATTCTACACAATTTTTATCTCCTAATACCAGTTCTCTAATAAAAGTAAAATCAATTGTAAATTTATCGAGTGGAAATTGTTTGAATAGAAATTTAACTGGTCGTAGTGAATCTCCTGTTTTAAAATCGAAAAAAAAGCAATTAAGTGTTAACGAATTACCATTGTTATCACTATTTGAGAAAGATAATTCCTTTGTTAACGGTAAAAATAAAAGTTTGAGCATGATTAATTTAGATGAAAAACAGAATTTTATATGGTCAGACGACTTACGTTTAAATCACAAAAAAACCTCAAGCGTAAGAAAATTAGCAAATTTGAAAGATGATTCGTTTTTCAAGTCTACAAATAAAGAATAAAAGTTACAATCGAATTAAACAAATGTGATATATTGTAAATCTCATAATTTTCTTTATATGTTTAAGTAATTTTATAAATGAAAAATGTGCTATTTTTTGTTTTAAGTTATATACAAGTTCAATAATATTCATTGTATAAATTTTGTTTGATATATAGCTATGAAATAGAATACATAAATATGAATTGTAAGTATGAATGTGAATATGGAAAAAAATTGTTTAAAAATTTAGTAGTGCAGAATGTATGCAAATCTTGCGCATATCAAATATACAAACTGAGTTTGAAATTTTATAACGTATAAAAAAGGACATTATGTCAAAAAGTTTGTATATTTATGATAATATTTTGTAACAGGTACATAGTTTGTCCTTGTATTTAGTTGTGTATTAAATTATTTTTCATTCTGGTTTATACCTAGCATGTTTTATTAATTACATATATGTAATGCTTTTATCAATTCTGTATGTTTGTTACAAACTTTGTTCATGTTATGGAAATTTTATATTTATAAATTGTAATAAAATTTTTTTTCAATACTTAATATATTTTAGGAACTTCTCTCTGAAGTACTATTATATTATCAAAATATTGCATCAAGGAATTTACCTAATTTGAATGATGCCAATGAAGTCTATTAAAATATTTTATAAAATTTTGAAATATTCCCGTTTTACAGATCATTTTGCCAATATAATATTTGAGTTAAAAAAATTTTGTATATTTCATAATATTTTAATTTATGTTAAAAATTTTTTTAATCATACTAAATACAATGATTTGTACTATATTATGTGAACTAAATATTTAGTAAGTAGTGACTACTTTGATAACAGTGATTTTCTATACAACATTAATGTTTTAACCTATGAATTATTAATAAAAACAATTAATAAAATCTATTTTATGCATCGAATATACAATGTAAATTATCTTCGTATTAATATTAAAAAATTACAAAATAATTAAAAACATGACTTGAATTTTCTCCCAAGATGAAAATATAATTTTTACATTTTAATATAATAATTGAAATTACCGTTGATATTGCACGTTGTTAAGCATTTTTTAATGTACAGTAGATAATTGTTTTTCACTTATCATGAGTTATCATGCGTGTGCAATGCTAACTAACAAGAAAAGTAATTTTACATAGCAATAACAAAATTTCTAAACTTGTATATTTATATATAATTTTATTATTATATTTAAATATAGAAATTTTTATATTAATTTTTAATCTTTATAATTAAATTGTAAACAATACAGTCGATGTAAATAAATTAATAAATTTCTTGATATATTTGTTCGATGAAAATTTGGAAAAAATAAATAAATCTCCAAACAAAAATAGAAAAAAAATAATGCATTAAAAAATATGTTTCTTCCAAGGGTTGTTAAATATTTGAAAGTTTTGAAAAGTGACAAAGAAGATAGGTGTCAAGATGGTTTCTCAAATCTAATCGGCAAATCATACGTATCGAAGTTTACGTTATCAGTATACACAAAACGTTCTCAATTAATAAATTGTAGCGAATTGAAAATGAAAAGTTTTCATTAATAGATATTTTATACGCTGATTTAAATGATTTATTCGTTCGAAAATATTATATTGGAAGTAGTCTATGAATCTATCGAAGCCAAGAAAAAAATGGGAGAAATTTTCTAAAAATAATAAAACAACATTGATGACATACTAGCAAGACTTTCAAATTTGGTAATTATTTTTCATTAAAAATCTCTCATTATACCAAAAGTATTATGTACATAATTTCTGTAAAATTAAAATTTTTTTTGTAAGTTATTATTTTAAAAATAATTGAATATATAAACATTTGAGTTTTGCAAACGATAATAACAAATAAATAAACAAGATATTCATATATAAAAATTTTGAAAATTATTATTTTGCCTAGATTAGAAGGATGGCAAAAGTTATATAATAATATTCATAACGTTTTATAGTAAAGAGAACGTGCTACGTCGAAATACGATAGACAAACATTAAAAGAGTTATCGTTTGAAGTGATACACGAGCTGACCCGAGAATCCAAAGAAAAATGGAAAAAGAAAATCAGCGACTTAACAGAGTAAATTGCAATTCAATAAAGAATCAGAACGAGGCATGTGATTTAATATTCAAGGGAGACGAATTTCGAAATTGTGAATAAATAGATTGAATTCCATATTAATTTCTCACTATCAAAATTCTCTTTTAAAGGAAAAACTAATTTATATCCTAAATACACAATAAATTTTTTTATATACTTCAAATATACTTTATATACTTTTTTTTTATATACATATATTTTATACACGCGGTTGCTACTTTAAATGGAGAAATTATATTTTGAATAGCTTTTCAAACTTAGAAGTAATAATTTACAACTTGGTTAAATGTAACAATAGCATGAAAGAATTCTTTCAGCATGCAGAACTGAAAGAACAAAATGATGAAACGAGGACACAGGAAAACAAATATTTTAGAATCTCAACAGTCAAAGAAACAGAATTAAATTATGAACAAGACAAGAAAGAAAACGAGGAACTAGGAAACTCGATGCTTGGATTTTGTACTATTTGTCTTGGAAATATAAATCCTTATCTTAGTCAAAATGTTCCTTGTTCTAATGGACATACTTTGTGCCAACGTTGTATTCAACATTTTGCAATTCAATCAGGTTAATTAATACAATCTTTTAAAATTGTTAATTCAGTAATTATTAATATTTTATAAAAATCTGAATTTTCTTATTATTTTTGTATTTCAATTATTTCCACAACAACTATACATTGCAGATCCAGGCTGCATTCTTTGTCACACACAATATCAACAATTAAATGTAAATTCATCGCGAGAAAGCAATATTAGTTTGAATTCTACATACACGCACGTGAAGAGAACGCAAATCTCGCAACAGCAATCAGATTATTACTCAAAACATGATCAAAAATTGCAACAATGCGATCCTATTAACATTGAACAGCCGTATTTCAAATCTTGGAATCAGAATTACTCTCCTATGGTACAAAATATCGAGGAAAACAGATTAGCATATCATAACAATAATTTCGAAGAGATTTCTGACTACAAACAAGTTAGAGACCAAAATAATATGATTGAAGAACGACACAAAAATTGCGACAGAGAAAAGCAGCGACAAAGTTATTGCAATTTATTTAAAAAGAGGAATGCAGAGTTGTACGTATCCGAAACAAAAATTAATGGACAAATTACTGCAGAATGTTCTCGTAGACCGATCCGTTGTCCACGAATTGACTGCGCCATAAACGTAGCTTTCTCAGCGTTAACGCATCATTTCATCTTTGATCATCCGGAGGTGCCTATTCTGAATATAGAGCCCGGTATCAAAAGTACACTTATTGTCAGTTTCAATGCTTTATCTTCCAATTCTAGTCGATGTCTAGCTCTCCTTCTTGTTTCTGGTAAACTCTCGTGAGTATAAAATTTTTATAATAATTTAAATATAAAATAACATTTGTACGTTTAAAAATCATTACTGCTAACAACATGAAAAAAGAAATAATTTTTGGAAAGAGTTTCCCTTAAAAGTATCTATAAAGTTGCTGATAAGTATCTACAAAAAATTGAATTATTAATGACAATAGAGTAATAAAAAGATTTTTACGTACAGACATATTAAGAAGAATTTAAAACATTTAAATAGTACATTTAATTAACATTCAATTTTTATACTAAGAAAACCTGCTGCGAGGTTGTTTAATGGCAGTCAAATCAACCCAAAATATCGAAATCGTTTACCATTACCAGTACTAGCCGCCCGGCTACAGTGTACAGATCAATATATATCTAACGAGAAAATTAATAAAACGAAAAATTTTCATAAGAAAGATATAATAATCGCTTGGGTTGCCGGACTGGATATTGGAAACACAACAAACAAACTTTTATGCAGTATTCAGGTATATTATATAGTTAACAAAAAAGCTCAATTGCACAAATGATTAATACGTCTGTACATGATAAATGATACACATACCGACTACTTCCACAACAGGCTGTGGACAAGATTGATAATGAAGGTTTACGTTGCCTAACATACACAGGTCCAGTGAACTCATTAAGAACAGCTCAATGTCCTCAAGACATTTATTCAACAGGTGATTGTATAGTTCTGCACGAAGGTCTCCTTAGTCACATTACATCAGATTGTGCTACACTCAATGTTAATGTTACTGTACATTAAATATATTACAAAATTCATGTATGTATATAATTAAATTCCAATTTATCCCCCATTAATAATAATACTTACACGAAGAAAATTGTATCTTTGATGTATATTCAAATTGTCGGATACCATTTGCAGTGTAATACTATGTAATAGTATATTATTTGAATATATGTATAAAACGCAAAAGGATAGAAAAGTATGTCTGTGATATGTTATAAACTTGTCATAGCAGGAGGTCGGGCGTACGCTTTTGGAATAAATCCATATTTTCGAGTTTTAGGCGCATATGCCCATAACCAACCGTCCACAGTTTGATTTCCTAAATCTGCATATATCCAATCAGCTCTTCTCACAGATAAATCATCTGGCGCCTGCGCCTTGTAATCATAAAGTACAACTAATTCTGTGCCATTTGTTTCGTCTCGAAAATCTCGCAAGCCTTTTTGCTGCAATGATTCATTCCCTGACATGTTGTTGTTCCCTTTCCCTTGAAATAATAAAAACAATCATCAATATTTAGCTCTTTGTGCAAGCCTAACTTTAAGTTATGCAAACTGTATATGCAAAATTGTAAACTTAAAGTTTTATTAATCTTTTTTTATCTATTAATCCCAAATTTTATTAACTTTTATTTTCACTGAAAGAGATGTAGACCAACCTAAGCCATGTGTTTCTGTAGATGTTGTAGCTACTGTAGTAGTAGTGGTGGTTGTAGTAGTTGTTGTTGCATACGAATGAAGAACATGTCCTGGATATACAAATCCAGATGGCACAAATCCTTCATTACCATCACAATGTCTAAGTACCCAAAACCAGTCAGGATCATCTCGGTTGAGTACAGTTACAAATTCACCTCTTTCAACACTAACATCATTTTCATCTCTGGCTACAAAAGTATAAAGTACAATATATCTTCCAGCAGATGGATCCTATAACATACATTATACAAATAAAATCATTATATATTTTTCTGTGAATTAATAAATCAAAGAATAAATTATTAATACGAGAATATATAAAAATAAAATATTTGTACCTTGAAAAAAGGGTGTACGTCTGGTTGAGAGGATACAGTTTGAATAGAATTTTGTGACTGTGTAATGTTAGACCTATTAACATTCACATCAGCAGTAGTGACATTACGAGCATAACTTTCACAGTCTGATGCTGATCCAGTGTCAGTCTGTTGCGTATCTATAGTTTGTGAACGACCTGTACCAGCAAAATCACAATCAGTCTCATTAGACCTTGGTAATTTCTTTTTCACATTGTTCATAAGAGTTGCAAGTGTTAATTCAGCAAGCTGAGATGTATAAGGTGCACAATATGAATGTGGGACAAAACCTTCCATACGTGTATCAGCTGCTATTACATATACCCAATCATTCTCTCTATATAAAACATTTACAACCTAGAATATGCACAGAACAAAACAAAATAACACAAATAAAAATGCAAGGATAAAATTAAAATTAATAGCAAGTTTTATAAATGATAAATATTTATGGACATAAAACAAGTATGAGAACATAAAGTTAGAGCAAATATACACAAGCTTATTCACATATATAAAAACACACGATAAAAAATTACTAACCTGGCCTCGTTTTACTTGAAGTTCATCATCAACACATGGCGTAAAATCATGAACAATAACCATTTTACTATCTGGCGACAGTCCATTTTCTTTTTCTATACCTACACGGACTAATGTCTCAATACTAGCACTTCCTGTTATACGACCAGGAGGCAATGGTACTTTTGTTCCTAAGCCAAGTCCTGTACCACCTGCTCCTGCACAATCTTTTTCCAAATTAAAATTGTGTACTCCCGCTGCAAAATGAAATTTAAAGTTTTTAATTGAATTTGTGTAAATTTTAAAGCCAAAATAATTAAGAAATAATTAAACCTAGAATCATATTTTACAATATATAATAATAAAGAATTATACATAAGTGGATTGTTTTCTAATTAAAATAAATTAATAATTAGTTAAATTAATTAATAATTAGATAATATAATTAGTTAAAATACTGATATAATAAAAAGTTACTGAAGTTCAGTAATAAATTTATTAGTTTACAACACTGTTGTAATATATTTTTACACTCTTTAACCATATCTAAGAAAATTTTAACCATATCTTTCTCTCAAATAACTTTTTAGATTTAAATGTTTCTTTTTATTCGTCTATTTCTTTGAATTATTTTAAGGACAAAACAATCGTAGACACATTTGCAACTTTGATAAAAATGTATAACAATGTATGTACGTGTACATATAAAAAGGTACTCTTTACCTTTGAAATTAAGCCTGGAGAAATATCTTGAAAGAGTTATTCCATATTTTGCTACTTACGTTTCTTTTTCTTCCCTCGACGTATACGAACCGGACACAAAAAGGCCATTCTGCTTTTTCAAAGCTCACACAGAATTGTATTTTCAGAACATGAATCGTTAAATACCAGGACCTCACTGAGACAAGGCATAACAAGGATAAGTGTATTAAACATTCCAGTAGAAATTATCGGCTCTTCTCACGTCTTTAAAACCAGATTGATACTTCAAGCATTTTAGTATTTAGTATGTACGAATACGATATGAGAGTATAACGGTAAAATTCCGGATCAAAAACCCAATTAATCCTTCGTTTTTTCAAAGGACTGTAGACAAAACTGAAATTTAGATATTTATAGTCATGAATACAACAGGTAGACGGCGCTTCAGCAATACACTATTGTGTAATATGTCAAACAAAAACATTTGTTTATACCGTTAAATTTTAAATTATGTATGAGTATAAAATGTTGTTCGAAACAACCGCGTTATACAATTATGATGTATATGTTTCAACCAAAATAAAAGTTACAGTAATTTGTTATAAAAATTTTACAAGAAGTTATTGTATAATTAATATTTTTTGTTGTTAAAAATTTTGATAATTCACGCTTTAATCATCGATATATTGGTCTATATCTTCATTAAGAATTGAACATACTTGCCATTCAACTTTTATAGTTGTCTAAAAATGTAAGATAAAATTTACGAATAAAAATATATACAACAAATTTTATAATATGATATATTAGTATATACATAATAAAAAAAAAGTCGAAGTAATAACGTGGAAAAATCTTATTTAATCGAAACGTCGTTTATTATTTCAATTAATATAAATGACGATAATAGCCTTATATATAACAATTTCCCCTCATATACATTTAACAATGAGTATTTTTTTTTTTTTTTTTT